CTTTATCTTATTTCTTTCCATAGTTTGTCATCCAAAATAAAGTTGTGAATTGTAGTCTTGGAGCATGCAGGATCTAATATCTGGTTTTCTTAATGTACTGCACAATGGAGCTATGACACTGTAAATATATGTTCTTCAGTGGTCAGAATACCTTTTTAGCAAAACATTGCAAATCAGAAGATTGCATTCATTAGTCCATCTTATCTCCACTAATAAAACACATAGCAGTTTGGCATTTTGGGAAATGCACTTATTCCGTTTTTTTTAAGGAAATATTGCCAAAACTGCCAAACCAGTTTACTTTGGTTTAAAAGTTTAATACAATAAGAAACAGAAACCCCCCAAATAGTAAGTTTGGCTGGAGACCATCAAATGTGTGTGGTTACCACTTTCCTTCAGTTCCAAGAAACCTTCTGCCCACAATAATTTAATTTTAATGGCTTTAATGACTTTGTCAAAAAGCAAGGCAGCAGTTGATATTAATAAGAGAGTTCTAACATCGGTAAAGGTGATGGACTTTATTATAAAGGCCTGTCTGACAGTGTGAGAAATGTTCACCAAACAGTCTTATTTTCCCGCTACAAACATTTATATCACTTTATGTTATAGCCAACTTCATTCTCTGGTAGTGCAATAAAAATAGAGAACAACTGTGCCTTTCTCTATGCACATTTGACTTGACATTCAGTGCAATTCCTTGGAGGCCTAATCCTTGACAACCAAAATGCACCACACTCCTTGATCATAATGACCCCTGCCACACAAACACACACAATTTCCAACACAGTCAAAAGGAACAGCTTAGCAAGGTTAATTGATCCGGAAGAGTTTTAGGTGGTTGAAAAAAAAAGGCCAGTCTTCGACAGTAAATGCAGTGCATTGCTTTTATCATTAATAATGACGATTAAAGTGTTACCTGGAATTTTATGAATATTAAATTGAGTTTAAACCTTTCCTTGAGGTTTGTTCCCACATTTTAAATGAACGTTATCATGCACCTGTCTTGATCCAATTCCTTATTGTTTCATGACAATTCGTATAGGTCATGGATATGTCATGATAAATGTTATGACACCAAAAAAGGCATCTGAACTGGAAGTTATAAGTGTATCCTACTCACCGCAGCCCACCACCAAGCATCTGGTATGCTGCTGAAAGGTGTTCCAGGCTGATCCACCTCAACAGAGTGCATCAGAGCAGAGAAGGTGAAGATGCCCATGGCAATAAACAGGAACAGGCAGCACACCTGAATGATTACAGAGGAGAACAAGTCAACAACAGTCTTATTTTAATATTAATATAAATCAATACATTATAAATCTCAGGCCACAGGTCACACAACAAATTTTGCTGTATCATGACACCCTGAGCATACCAACCCATTATTTGTATTTCCACTGAATGTAAATAGAATGTATGAATCTCTATAACCCAAAATCAGAATAATGATTTGAAAAGCTTGCGTTATCCGCATTAGATCAATTTCACTTTAGACGGCAACACAAGGGGGAAAGAGATGTTTGACAAAAGAAAAAAGAGGATCATCTTGAATTTTTGTACAAGCTGAATTATGGATTTTACACCTGTAATTCATTACCTACATTCGTCTCTTGGCCTAGTTCCAATATAACACTTGTAGAAGTTTTATTTTACAAATGTACATTTTTCCTGTCCTTATCACAGATATTTACTAGTATTACCACAGAATGTAAGAAATAAAGAAAAAAAACAATGGCAACCAAAAACTGATACCAAGATTTAAGATTATTTGCATAATATGGCAGAAGTAACCTTGTATGACCTTTTCTACTGTCTTTTTGCAACTACAACACCCGAATTTCCCCTCAGTGGATCAATAAAGTATTATCCTATCCTATCCCCATTAAAGTTGTTATGGTAAACTTGTAAGCACATAGTTGGCTATTTACTCATCCTGAAGATATGAAGCAAAATTTGCACTTATTTAACTACAAAATTTGCAGCTGTCAGCAAAAAGCAATGCTGTCTATTCAAACAACATGTAGATGTAAAATAATGGAATTCATTTGGAGTCAAGTTTACTGTCTCATTGGTCAATTAACAATTCACTGCATTTAGCTCTGTTTTGTTCTCTTCTGGTTCATTAGGGTAAATGCTACCTATTTAGCTGCTAATTATTACACTAAATTTACCAGTAAGCATTAGGTGGGTCAACGGAGCTTTTTTGATTGAGAATAGCAGCTACTTGCTCATCTGAACATGTATGATGAGAGCACTGAGACAAAAACATAACAGTAAAATTCAGGCCTGCAAATCAAAATATGGAGCTAAAGTTGGCTAAATTTGTGATAATTAAAGGTGGGTTCATTCCAATGGCTGACAATTTTCCATATATAAATATTAACATGATACAATGATATAGTATTTAGTTATAGCAGCATCAACCCAAGCTTAACCCAAGTTGATTTAAATAGGGGGAGTGGCAACTTTGCAGATTCCCTTGCTTGAAATCCTACTATACCTGCTCAGAGCACTGTCTGATGGTGAAACCAAATGCCCTCATGCCTGTGGAGTGACGAGCAAGCTTCAAGATACGGAAGATGCGCATCAACTTGACCACCTTGAGAACTTTGCTGACTTTACTGACTCTTGTCATAGTCTTCAGATCTTCTTTTGAGCTGACGTCTTCTGAATCTAAAACAAACGCCTCAAAAATGAGCTGAACAAAGTAGGGCATAACAGCCACCACATCCACAAAGTTCAGGGCACTCTTCACAAAATGTTTGATGTTGGATGTGGTGAGTAACCGCAAAAAGTACTCCATAGTAAAGAAAAGGATGGAACTAATCTCTATCCACTCCATGTAGGTTCTGCCAGCTAGTTTGTAATCCCTGAGTTCTTTTACTGTGTTCATTGTCATGGCAACGATAGATATAAGCACAAAGAGACTTGAAAACACAGCAAAGGCTTTGGCTGACAGGGAAGAGTAAGGATTCTCCATCAAGTCCCAGAGAATCTTTCGAAGCCCTCCAAGAAACATGTTCTTATATCCCTCATCATCTTGGTGAGGCTTAATCTCGTCGATCAGCTCCTGGTTGACCTTCAGCTGATCTCTGATGTCATCGATTTTCTCCTCAAACAGTATTCGGCAGCACCTGAGAGGAAAAATAGGGTAAATGATTGTTTAAAATACAATACAATACAAAACAGGCCAAGCAAGACATTAATACTTTAAACAACTACAACACACCTTGGAGTGTCCTTCAGTTTGAGCCCCCAGAACGACAACTCTTCTTCAAAGTTTACCGGGCAGAGACTGTCCATCACCCATAGGACATTACTGCAGTAAAAGTGGAAGATGTAGTGGAAAAACATGGGGTCCCTGTCAAAAAAGAACTCATTATTCTGAACGTTGTAATCATCACAGAGCGTCAGGCGCTTGACAGGATCATTACAGAGGGCAAGGACTCCAATCCTTGTTTTTGGGTGTCTGAGGACCAGATGCTTTGGGATATGAAATACCTTTCCACCAATGTTCAGGTTGACAATGTTCGATTGTCTTGGGTTTGGAAGGTCTTTGCTCTGAGTTTTCTTTGCCTTCTTTTGTTCTTCAGGTTTATCAAGGTTGTCCATGGATGTCCACGCTTTCACAGAGCTGTCCTGTGAAAAAGGGAATTCACCCTCCTGTTCTTCAATGCTCTGAGAAAAACTCATCTCACGTTTTATCGTTGCAAAAAGGCTGGAGCGACGCTTTTTCAGCACTTTTAACCTGGGCTTCACGGACTCCATTATGGAAGCTCCTTGGAAGACGAACAAACTCAAAACTCAAACAAAACAAAAGTTTTGAGCAAAGTTCAGATCAGTCAGTGAGAAGCAATAACGAGAGTATTCCATAAGATCTCCATCAGGCTGAATACTGCCCTCTAAAAAATGCTTCCTGGTTGAAATAAAGATAAGGAAAGCGCTACCGTGCTTTCTATGTCTCAGTGTGCAAGAAGATCAACGGCATGAGTTAGGGATTCAGCCTCTTTACTGAGTCTCTAATCCTATTGCAGTCCTTTCAGTCCAAACGCAAGTTAAAAATACTGTTCACAAGGATTAGCAATGTGATTTACGGCTTTGAGGGCTGAGAGACGAGGCAAGGCAGAGAGAGTGGTGTGATGACATTTGCATCCCTAACAAGGCAATGGATGGCTTTTTAAATACTATCGCTTCAGTTAGATTACCTGAAGTAGCTTTTTTGGTAATATATATTTAAAAAGTCCTGCTCTGTAATTTAATTATCAAATCATTATTTGACATTTATGTTTTGTCATCAGTAAAGGACCTTTTTTATTTGTCCCGTTCAACACATAATAAACAGAAGTCTGAATAAAGTCATTCTATGATTTTTTGTTGATTTTACTGAAAAAAAACAACAACGACTGAGGGTACCACCAAATATAATTAATTTAGGAGAACAGCATTCTATAGAGTAGGCCTAGGTACTGCAATAATTTCAATGGGAAACAAAAAGTAATGTGCATTTAAGCCGACTCTGTCTAAATCAACCATTATATTGGACAAGCGAAGCCAGATTTTTTTTTTTGAGCCATCAGTGTAAAATTGGCCCTAATTCTATACAATCTTCAGGGATTTGCAAGTAGCCAAATGTATATAGGCCTAGGCATACACACACTGTAGTGTTTGACAGATAATCTAATCAAAAAAATTAAAAAAACGGATACAATAAAGTTACAATATAGATACCAAACTGTAAAGTTTAACTTTGTGTCATGGCAGAAGGGATACGGCCTCATTCTCCACCGTTCTCCCCCCATCCATTGTGTCAATGGTATTGCCCATTCGCCGGAAAAGGAAGTGGTTTACTAAAATTTACTTTAATTATTATAATTTTTTTAAAGAAATGGTCTTTCGATTAATTGTATTGATTTACTCTACTTGGTTGTTTTCTAATAGTATTACATTGGATATAAAATTGGAAATAAAATAAAAAAGAAGCGTTAGATTTGCCTTATATTCCGTCCGTGCACCACGTGACTTCCTTTCCGGTCTAACCTGACAACATGGACGCCAGCCGCGTGCAGCCGATCAAGCTCGCAAGAGTAAGAAAATGTATTTAATGGTGAAAATGATGTTATAATTGTGCATCGACAGCTAAAGTAACAACAAATGACTGATATGGCACTTAAATAGTGAAGTTAAGGGTACTATAAAGCGCGGTTTGTCTTACGACTCGGAGCTCTCGCGTGTCCATCATGGAGGACCGTAGTGAGCTGGTTCACCATTATACGGCCTTACACCGCTCTGCACAATTTTGAGATTTATATTGGGAACAAACCGCTTGTTTGGACAAGTTGTAACTTTCAGTATGTTGTGTTTTTTTTTCCAGGTCACCAGGGTGCTCGGAAGAACTGGATCCCAGGGACAATGTACACAGGTATGCTAATAATGCTAACGTTAGCGTGAAAAAGTGCTAAATGTAGAGATTCCCCTTGATCCCCGATGTGCTAGAAGTGTTCATCTACATCAGGGATGGGCAACTTTGGTCACAGCAAGGGCCACATTCATTTAATTCTCACTGCCAGGGGCCAAATTGTAGGATACAAAAACAATTACAGTCAATTATGTTTAAAATTTAACTCAACATATACCAGTGATCAAATATTATTATGGACATATTTCTGGTTTTCATGATTTCATAGCAGGTTTTATGAAGTTTTCTTAATGTTTCCAATTATTTGATATGTAAAAATTGACATGGGGGGGGCACATTGAGGGTTGATGGGGGCCGCATGTGGTCCCCGGGCCGTCAGTTGCCCACCCCTGATATACATGAACTAGTCGCAGGGCTTCAACAAATATACCTGAACCACTTTTTTCTTGCGTTTGTTATGTTTTAAGTGTTAAATTCGTGTCTATATTATTTCTCTGCCCTCTTGATTTTCTTCAGACAAACATGTCGTGTTGAAAGTTGATCTCTTGTAGCGGACTCGTGCTTAAAGTGATCAAGGAGTAAATAAACTCTTGTGATTGCCTTAACATTCAGCAACTTTGATGGTTAAACTAAACTTCAGAGTCGATCACAATTTTTCTAGGTGTGATTGTTAAAGGGTTAAGTCAGGTTTTTCCCTTTAACACACTAAACGCCTGAATTTCCCTGCTGGGGATCAATAAAGTACTCTCCTATCCTAAAAGGTTTTCAGGTGTATTAGTGTCATATTGATTGTTGTTCTTGCAGGTCCGCGTTGAGTTCATGGACGACAGCAACCGGTCCATCATCAGGAACGTGAAGGGCCCAGTCAGAGAGGGAGATGTGCTGACACTTCTGGAGTCTGAAAGAGAAGCCAGGAGGCTGCGATAGGTAAGAGTGTGGATCATAATCTTGTCATTTCTGTTAGCATATACCCTAAAAGGTGTTGCTACATGACTTTTGTCAAAAGCAGAAACAACTATCAGCAATTTAAGACACCTGATTGAGCTGTACAGGGTCTACGGTCTGAAACTAACTTCTTGAGCCATTGAAAATGTTTGATTTAAGAAAGAAAATAAGAGTATTTTTGACACGGGTTCCACTACATTACGGAGGAGGATTTTATACTTTTTGTCAATGGATTTTGGTTAGGAACTATTCCAAACCATTTAAAACTAACTATGATGTATATGATTCGGAGCCTCAAGTATAGAGTAGTAAATCTGATGTTCACAGCTATGAATCATAATTATAATCTACTGATAAGAAACTCATCATTTTGAACTCGGTTGTTCTACTCTGAGCAGGCTGGCTTGATTTATAGTTCCAAAAATATTTGCAGTCTAATTAATTGAAGCTTTGTTATTAATTTAGCATTTGAATATAGCATAGTATTTCAACATTGATATTGCTTCACTAGTGCAAAGCAGAGGAAACCCTCAGTCCGCCAACTTCAAGTCCACTTTTCAGTGGCTCTGTTTGTAACCTGCATCAATTCAGGCGCAGCGCTGTTACCAGTGTGAATGCAGACTCGCTCACTCAAACCGGGTTGTTTGACGATCAAAGTAGTGCCACATAATTAATGACTCCCACGCCAGCGACGTGTGGACAATAGAAGAAAAAAAGGAGTCATCTACTGTTTCATACGTTGAGAATTTTCAGTCAAAAAATGTTCTGCTTTAATCCCTGTATACATTCATGCTGCAGACAGTGTTGCATCTGCACTTCCTGAGGCTTCTGAACTGCCTAGAATTGTTGTGGCTTTGACCAAGAAAGTTTGAACAAGTTGTATGAAATCTAAGTGAAACTAACAGCAATGACTCTCACGCCAGCGACGTGTGGACAAAAAAGTAGTCATTATTAGCAATCGTTTTTTTAGTGACCGGACCAGCCGTCAATGGCTCCAAATAATTTTCCCACCTTTTGGTGAGTGGCAGGTGCTAATTTTGGACCCTACTCCCATACATTTAAACAGGTTTATGTAATGGATTAAATCTGATTAAAATACAAGAATGCACCACCATAAATGTGTATACTTCTAATCAGGAAATGCCAGAAGAGAGATGTTAGAGTGTGGTAGACATGCTTCAAAGGGCCGACGAAGACAGTCAAACAAGCAGCTGATGTGTCAAAGACTTGTTTATAGGCAGACTGCTCTACCAATTGAGGAAAAACCAGCCCGTTAACGATATTAAATCAGATACTTTAATATGTGAAAGTAGTTAAACTAAAATCATTTTAGTGTCTCTTTGCTCTTATTTGGTTGCCCACAGAGTATGTTAAAGAGTTGTTGGATTTCATTTTGATTAATTTGAGGTGTGGTCTGACTGTGTCTTCTCTTCACAGTTCCCGCTGAAGCTGTGAGGTCCAACATGGTGGAGAAGGCGTGAATTGACATTCCAATTCATCAGTGTGAATTGGAATGTCCTAAACCTCACTTTGGCAGATGTTTTGGAATAAATTTGGATATTAAGATCGAATTGAATGTCCTGTGGTTATTGACAAGATGTATTGACTTTCCCAATATAAAAATTGAATTACATTTGTTGGAGCTCAGCTGTGAACTTAAGTCTTGTATAAGTCCTTGAAAAGCTACAGCAGAGGATTGATTGCTCAGATGTTTAAATGCTGTATCTATAGTTCTAAGGAAATACAGTGTGACATATACACACGTGTGTCTCTGCGTGTTTACACGCACACAAATGCCTTGCTTTTCTGTGTCTGTATAGAAGGCAGGAAAGTTGAGCATGAATGGGGGGAAATTTGTCTCTTTTTGTCCAAACCAGAGAAACATTGAAAAGATGAACAAAATAGTTATGAGTTAATCTCTTCAACTATCAAACATGGACATATCATTACGTCCTTAACTATCCTATTTCATCAAGCAGCTCAGCCAACACTGTAAACTAGAGTAGTTTTATTTTTAACTACATAAATTGCACAAGCTCACAACACAAGTAGTCTGGTTGCACTTCGGGAACAGGTGCTTGGTTTTCTTTCAATCTAATTCCACCAGCAGTTTACTTTCTTATTATGGTTGAAGAGGACATTTATTTTTGAAAGTTAGGTTTGATTCAGATTGTGTACAGCAGAGGGCAGCATCACCATTTGTTGATTTTCGTCTCTAAATTGAGCACAAGTTCAGAAAAGCTGCTTGTCTCAAACTGATGCAATGATCACAATTGAAATATCAATTCATTAAACTTGTGAAATAGAAACAGCTGTGTGATCAGCAAATGACAACATCAATGTGCATGACTGTTTACATACTAAATATCTTTGTTTTCTTTTGTCTAAAATAAATTCACGTAGGGATTATAAGAGAAAATCCTAAGGGGCTGCATTGCTTAATTCTTAACACATTTTCCCGTTTTCGCTCACTGTGTAAGCTTTGTCTGAAGCCACTTCTGTTGGCTGAACACATTTATGGCCTCAGCATCAAAGGCTGAGACGGAGACCATGCTGTTTCTGAAACAACGAGCCAGATTTTCAGGCACGGATGTGTCAATTTTTATATCCAAGTGATGAATTACGACCAAACTGAATCCAGGCACGATTTACAAGATTCGAAATGGGCGGAAAACTGAACATTTCTGTGGCAGTGAGTCAGTTACAATCCAAATTTTGACTGCGTTGTGCATTGTCCAGTTCTTGTCCATCGCAGTTCACAAGGTCGGTCCTGTTTAAATGCAGAAAATATATGTTGTAAAATATGTTGTGTAAATTTAATAAATAATCGGGGGTATATATAGAAAGCATGAAATACATTATGAAGATCTGTATACTTTTGAGTTGACGGTGTCATGTTAGGGTCTTCGGCTGAAATCCAGCCTGAAGGATCCCACAGTTTGTTTGAACAGGGAAACATGTCATTCTGAGCTACGTGTTGTGATGAGGCTCTTTCACTGCTGTATGTTTACTTTAACTTCACATTGACCTACATTACACAGAGCTATGCATTGACCTACTAGTAGAGCTGTAAAATCAATATCATATATCATCAGAGTGTCTGCCACACTGCTGACACAGCTGCACCATACTGTCCATCATACTGTACTGATATTTGATGTTGCAAGTGCTCTTAAGTAAGTGATGGAAAATCTAGCAAATAAAAAATGAAACGTTAAAACTTTGTATCATTTACTTTCCAGCCTTGAAACAACGTAAAAAATATTGACCGTTACATTGTTGTTGACGTTGTGCAGCTGAATTCTGCTTGTGCCAACCATTTGCATGATCTTGCTTGTAGACAGTGTCTCCTTTTAAAAGTTTAAAGACACAGTAAATCACTAGTAACTGCTAATGCTGTGCTCATTAGTAAGAAAAAAAATCTTCCTCAGAGTCATGACAAAAGTGACACCAAAAACCCACTTCAGAGAACCTGAAAAACAGAGTTAATCAAACAAAAGACTGAGCTGAGTTGCATACTTCCATATGTTGCCAAAATGCAACTCAGGTGACCCATTGTCTTCTCATAGTGCAGATCATTAACCATCACATATACGTTCATGCTGCAGACATTGTTGCATCCGCACTTCCTGAGGCCTCCAAACTGCCTAGAATTGATGTGGCTTTGACCAAGAAAGTTTGAACAAGTTGTATGAAATCAAAGTGGGAAACTAACAGCAAGCCACAAATTAATTCTTGGCAGCTATTAATTAAACTAAAGTAAAAAATGTACGCCCATAAAGAGCATGCTTACACTTGACAGGCTATGTCAGAGAGACAGTAAGTCAGTGATAGGGAAAACATCATTTTCTGACATCTGAGTAGTACATATAGTCATACAAAAAAGTGTGTAAATGTGGATACACAGGGAAAACAGCCTCCATGTTTTAAACTTTGACCCTAAAGACAAACAGCAAGAAAAACAAGTTATAGAAAAGCAGATGAAGAAAGAAGAGGAAGACTCCAAGTTTGTCATTAACCAGTTAATAACAGCCCTGCACTTGAAAACAACCTGGTGTTATGTTACCTCCCACTGCCATAATCACTCTACTCCTCCTCGCCATGTCTCTGGCTCACCCACACAAGTCTCACAGGTGGCATGTGTTTACCATCTCTTCTGTTTCACTCTCTGGAGTAGAAACGCTTTTGTTTTAAAAACACATCTAACCCAGGCCTCTCTCTGGTTTTCTGCATGCCCCCAAGTTCTAGCAGAGCTGGGAGAAAACACCAGCAGTGGCTATGTATGTATGTACGGATGGATGTATGAATTAATGTATGTATGTATGTATGGATGTATTTATACAGTATATGTATGGATGGATGGCTGGATGTATTTATACAGTATATGGATGGATGTATGTACAGTGTGTACAGAAAGTATTCAGACCCCTTTACATTTTTCACTCTGTTTCATTGCAGCCATTTGCTAAAATCAAAAAAGTTCATTTTATTTCTCATTAATGTACACTCAGCACTCCATCTTGACAGAAAAAAAACAGAAATGTAGAAACTCTTGCAAATTTATTAACCAAGAAAAACTGAAATATCACATGGTCATAAGTATTCAGACCCTTCGCTCAGTATTGAGTAGAAGCACCCTTTTGAGCTAGTACAGCCATGAGTCTTCTTGGGAATGATGAAACAAGTTTTTCACACCTGGATTTGGGGATCCTCTGCCATTCTTCCTTGCAGATCCTCTCCAGTTCTGTCAGGTTGGATGATGAACGTTGGTGGACAGCCATTTTCAGGTCTCTCCAGAGATGCTCAATTGGGTTTAGGTCAGGGCTCTGGCTGGGCCAGTCAAGAATGGTCACAGAGTTGTTCGAAGCCACTCCTTTGTTATTTTAGCTGTGTGCTTAGGGTCATTGTCTTGTTGGAAGGTGAACCTTCGGCCCAGTCTGAGGTCCTGAGCACTCTGGGAGGTTTTCTTCCAGGATATCTTGTACTTGGCCGCATTCATCTTTCCTTCAATTGCAACCAGTCGTCCTGTCCCTGCAGCTGAAAACACCCCCATAGCATGATGCTGCCACCACCATGTTTCACTGTTGGGATTGTATTGGGCAGGTGATGAGCAGTGCCTGGTTTTCTCCACACATACCGCTTAGAATTAAAGCCAAAAAGTTCAATCTTGGTCTCATCAGACCAGAGAATCTTCTTTCTCATAGTCTGGGAACCTTCATGTGTTTTTTGGCAAACTCTATGCGGGCTTTCATATGTCTTGCACTGAGGAGAGGCTTCCGTCAGGCCACTCTGCCATAAAGCCCCGACTGGTGGAGGGCTGCAGTGATAGTTGACTTTGTGGAACTTTGTCCCATCTCCCTACTGCATCTCTGGAGCTCAGCCACAGTGATCTTTGGGTTCTTCTTTACCTCTCTCACCAAGGCTCTTCTCCCACAATTGCTCAGTTTGGCTGGACGGCCAGGTCTAGGAAGAGTTCTGGTCGTCCCAAACTTCTTCCATTTAAGAATTATGGAGGCCACTGTGCTCTTAGGAACCTTGAGTGCTGCAGAAATTCTTTTGTAACCTTGGCCAGATCTGAGCCTTGCCACAATTCTGTCTCTGAGCTCCTTGGGCAGTTCCTTCGACCTCATGATTCTCATTTGCTCTGACATGCACTGTGAGCTGTAAGGTCTTATACAGACAGGTGTGTGCCTTTCCTAATCAAGTCCAATCAGTTTAATTAAACACAGCTGGACTCCAATGAAGGAGCAGAACCATCTCAAGGAGGATCAGAAGAAATGACAGCATGTGAGTTAAATATGAGTGTCACAGCAAAGGGTCTGAATACTTATGACCATGTGATATTTCAGTTTTTCTTTTTTAATAAATTTGCAAAAATTTCTACATTTCTGTTTTTTTTCTGTCAAGATGGAGTGCTGAGTGTACATTAATGAGAAATAAAATGAACTTTTTTGATTTTAGCAAATGGCTGCAATGAAACAAAGAGTGAAAAATGTAAAGGGGTCTGAATACTTTCCGTACCCACTGTATGTCCGTCCATCTGCAGCAATTGTCTGCAACATTACTTCAGACACACAAATGTCAAGGATGATTTTCAGAAGTGTACAAGAGTAGCTGATTGCCACGAAAGGATGTTTACAACTTTCTAGAATTCTAGAAACTTTCTGACTTCAGGGCATGGAGTTAGTCTTTTCTCCTTGTTTTTATTAAATCTTGTAATAAAGGAACAATATTCCTTTGTTACGAGTTCATTTATGATGTTGGCCTTCCTGAGTTATTCCTGAAAACAGCCCAGAAAGAAGCTAATAGGAGGTAAAAGTACAAAAATATTATTAGCAAACATATTCACATTTTAATTTTTTATAATCTTTATTTTGTCAATTTTTTAATTTAACAACACGAATAACATAGACAACAGAAGAGAACCCCGTATGAGGAGGGCACCTTAGATTGAAAATAATAGTCATACTAACTTTATTTATATTGCAGCTTTAAAAACATGTTTCCAAAGTGTTTTGACCATAGACTGTAAATGGTTTTGACTGACAAAGCAAGGCAGGAACTTAGGAAG